TTGAACACCCGTCCCAGCGCTTGGCAGACAGCCCCAGAACGCGGGGTTGTGCTGTGCCCAGCGTGCCACGGCATTCATGGGTGCTCAGCCCCACACAAACCAGTGCCTGGGGACGACGGGGAAGGAGGTGGCTCCCATGCAGCAAGCTCAGCATAGCTGGCTCGAGGGGCTGGGTTTGGGGGGCAGGTGCCCCCGTGCCAAGGGGAAGACGCTCCTTGGGCTGGGAGGGCATCAGGGCCCCGTGCCAGCGGGGTCTCCAGGAGGCTGTGCTTGAGCTGCCCTTTTAGGGGCTGCTGCGCAGGAGCCAGCACCACGAGCCCACAAGCACCCCGCTGAGCTCCCCTGTACCCCAAGTCTCTCTGGGGCTGCTCTGTGTCCCTGTGGGGAGGTGGGCAGGACCCTGCTGTCCGAGCTACCCTGCCTGCCAGCGGTCCCAGGGACAACCTTCTCATGGCCATGGTGGGACAAGTCTGGGCAAACCTGCTGGGACTGCCAGGGGCTGCCTGGCACTTGGGGGCCCCAGCTCCCCCAGGGCAGGGAGAAGAGCAGTGCATGCCCCAGGCCAGCCCTGTCCCCCACCCGGGTGGTGTGCCCCACCTTCTGTGGGCATAGCAGCACAGGGGTCCCCCCCAAGTGCTGCCACATCTCTCCTGGAGGCCCCTAACCTTGGCACAGCTGCATGATGGCAGAGAAAGGAGAGTGCCAGGCAAAGGCCGTGGGACCAGGGGCTCCAGCAAGCCCCGCTCCAGGACCCCCACAACAAGGGATGGAGCCGGGGGCTGCAGAGGAAGGGCAGCCCCTCCAGCCTGGGGGCACTGCCTGCAGATGAGAGAAAGTCCTGCTCACCCCTTCCCCAGGCAGCTGTGCACCCCGTCCCTAACACCCAGGTTGGACAGTCCCATGGGTGGGTTTCCTCGAGCTCCGGGGTCCCACCATGCCCTCTCCCCCAGACTCACGGCCCAGGCTTCCCCGGGGGATGGGGTCCCCAGCACAGCGGGGGCTCCCCCGGCTGGCACCATGCCCTGGGCGATGCCCGTCAGTATGTCTGGGGCGTGAGGATGAAGAGTCGATCTTCCTCCTTGCGGATCCACTTCATGAGCTTGTTGACAGCACTGATGGCACCGGCCTTGGTCCCCAGGGGACTGTAGCATATGTAGAGCTCGAAGGCGCTGGTTACCTGGGTGAAAAAACAGGGTACATACTGCGCACACGTCAGCGCCCTGCTTGGGGCTGGCACTGCATCTTCCTGCCGTGGGCTGCAGGGAACGGGCACCGGCACAGGGGCACCGGCACAGGGAGATAAGGTGGCAGTGGGGTCCCCTAAATGGGTGGCACCTGCTTTGCTCAGAAGTGGGAGGACCAAAGCCCAGGGTTTGTCCCCAGAGAGCGTTTTCTCCACAGCACTGGGGAGTTCAGGACAGCGCATGGCACAGCCCTCGGTGCCGGAGCTCGCTGGCCCCTGCCACTATCCCTGCCTGTCCCTCCCTGGCACAGGGGTGCATGGGGGCAGACCGACCCCCAAAAAGACTGTGCACAGGCTGGGGGCCACCCTGGGGACCACGGAGCTGGTGCTGTGTTGTGCCGCCCCGTCCCTGCTCTGCCATGCAGGACCGGAGAAGATGGCCTCATCCAAACCCTGCAGACAGCCCTTACCCACGCCAGGAGGTTCTCACGGGGGCCTGTGAAGTAGATGTTCTTCAGGGGGCGTGAAGAGTTGTGAGCCCGGCTGTGGAGGTACTGGTAGAGCCCCAAGAGCCGCTCCTTCTCCTCATCCCGCACGTAGGGTGCCTCAATCTCGGGGCTGCAGGAACACAGCACCCCGTTAGCCCCCTGGAGAAGGGGATTTGTGGAAAAGGCTTGCCCCATGCCCCAGGCCACGACCTTGGCCCTATGGTTCCCCAGGGGCCTCACCTGGTAAAGAGCCCAGAGCTTTTCGACTTGTAGATAAAGTGCCGGAGGTCGGGGATGCCCACCTGGGAGACGCTGTAGAAGGGGGTGCGCAGGGCCTCCTGCAGAGCGTGGTGCACTCCCCGCCGCCGCAGGCGCTCCTGGAAGCGCCGCTTACAGTCGGAGACAGTGAAGAAGTCCTCACGGTCGGTGGAGACCAGCAGGAGGCACAGGTCCATCTCCTGCTCAAGGTAGGAGATGTGGGCATGGAAGAAGCCACTGGAGTTGAACTTGGGGAGGCAAATGGGAGTCCAGGCTTCACCCTCCCGGAAGGAGGAAGAAGAGCTGATGAGGTTGAAGAGCAGATGGAGGTCAATGGGGTGGAGGAACTGATCCTTCTTCCTCACAAGAGACACCAGCTGGTTCCCTGACAGGAGGATGGAGAAGACCAGGCTCTTGGCCTTGGCCTGCTGGAGGCTGGTGCTGACAGCATCCCGCACGCTGGCGGCTAGGGGCAGGCAGCGCACGGCGCCCATGAGGAAGCTGGGGTCGTGGGCCATGAGGTCCAGCAGGTTGTCGGTGATGCGCTCGGAGCCGGCCAAAAGCCTGCGCAGGTCATAGTTCTGCTTCTGCTGGAAGATGTGGTTGAGCTGGGTCCAGGTGAGCAGGCTCAGGATCTGGTAGTAGATGTAGAGCAGCTCATGGGCGATCTCCTGCTCTGACTGCTGGGTCCGTGCCACAGCCACCAGCACCAGCGGGCTCCTCCGCACGAAGACCACCTTGTAGCCATCTGCTTGGGAGGGAGTTCCCCGGGGGGGCCGGGGACAGACCTGTAAGCCTGGCTCCCCAGAGCTGCAAGGCGGAGCCAGGCTGCAGCCTCCCCCCCACCACCAATCTGCCCCTGGGAACAGCTAATGTGGCCCATGGCAGGGGCACAGCTGGGCCAGCCCTGACAGCCCCCC